AGAGCTGGCTGCCAGAGAGCAGGGTGGGCCCTGCCAGATCCATGCGGGTTCCAGGGTACACAGGGGGGCAGGAACGTTGGCAGTTTTCTCAAGTGAAGTTCGCTTAGAAAATAGCTGGGAAAAGTTATACTCGGGGCCTCTCTCTTGAGGATCCGTGCGCCTTAAGCACCTGCTGCTCCTTCCCTTTGGTCTCCCGGAACAGCGCCTGGTTCCGATACACTAGGCAGTGACATGCCTGATCAGAATCTGAAGTTGTGATGTAATAAAAAAGTGGAACTCTTGAAGAAAAATTAAACCTGTCACCACTATGGGTATAGTTTTCATAGCACTTTTTGTTCTAAAGCACTTAATACGTTGTCCAAAATAGGCACCTAACTATATCTGAAATGCCACATGAAGAGTCTTTTTGGTAAACAATTAACACGTTACGCACATGTCTTCCAGGAAGGAGTGGGGAGAGTGGGTAGGTTGGCTCAATTTCTTTCTGCAGATGCCATAAACTACCAAGAATTGTAAGCCGTGGAGAAGGAGGGATCAAAATGCCTCTCCAGGGTTCCCTGGCGCTCCAAGCACATGCTCTGTGCACCAAACAAGCTCCCCATGCCTGGCACCCTTCCTAGGCTTCCTCTGAGGCGCGAGGAGAAAGACCTGTTGGTTGTTTCTAAGAAGAGTCTGTTGGTGATGTGTCAGTACGGAAGCGTGGTCTGCTCCCTTCCCAAGGGCTGCATCTCCTGGCTTTCACCCTTCTCTGCAGAATGCTTCGACGTACGGGCGTACGCTTCCGTACATTGGTGTCGGGCTCTGCCGAGCAGTTGGGCGGGATGCCACAGCCCCGTTTGCAGGACTTCTGAGCTTTACACTTCATCTACAGCATTAACGTTAATCTCGGGCCACCTACACGAGTGGGTGAAAGGCAGCAAACGCCTGCGAACCCAGAATGTCTTTGTTGGGCGGATGGGGGTCTCTCTTCTCCTGTAATCTCACACCAGCATTAGCCCGTATCTCCATCCTGTTCGTTTTGTCCAAAACCTTCAATCCTGTTCTGCTGCCACCTCAGGTGAGAAGGTGAGGCTGCAGACTCCCACCTAGCCAGTCCGTGGCGTGAGAGCTGGCCAGACGAGTGGGCTGTGGCATCGGCAGTCCGTGCTGGATGGGAAAGACGCTTTGGCCAATACCACAAACCACTGGTGCTTTCTTGCTCTCCTGAAATGTGGTTCTCCTCTCAGGAGCATCTCTGGGGTTTTCACGGTTTTGCTACCTACCAGCTTGGGATCTTCTCAACTCTCCTGATGCTGGGACAGTTTCCTCTCAATTTGGCTGCTTGTTTTTGCTGTGCAGGCCAGCTTCCAGGCCATGCTGTGCAATACTGACAGGTGAGAAGGGCAGGAAAGCTTTTTGTTATCCACATTAAAATTTGGCTGAAACTGTGTGGAATAACATCACTTGTCTTTAGGACACAACCCCAGCTCAGGGTAGGGAGGGCAGATAGCAGTAGGAGTGATAAACACAGATGGCTCGTGTGCAGCTCCTTCCGAAAGTGTTTGGCAGAATCGCTGTTGGCAAAGCAGTGCGAAGCCGATGATCTCTTTGGGGTGGGCAGTACGGGCGTGGGTGAAGCAACGGAATGACTAGCTTGTACTGAATGAATGACACTTTATAAAACTGTGATTTCTTGAAATTAATGTTTTGACCTGCATTTCACAGGGAAAAAATAAAGCTGGAAAAAAAGGTTCTTCATTCTCATTGCCAGTGGTTTGCTATGTTGTCCCAGAGAACGAGGCAGTGCTGGTAAATATGGCCTTTTTCAAGAAGGGGGAGCCTGGTTTGATTAAACTCTGCTATATATTACCCTAGTTTTGGGGGGATGCAGGCGGAAGTCACCTGGGTGTGAATACTTTGATGAATCTGAGCACAGGATTTGCCAAATATATGGGCATCTCTGCCCCGTCCCAAGTAGCGAGTTCCTTTTCCCCCCCCTGTCCCATGG